GAGTTTTCGGAAAAACTCCTAAACACGTATATTTTATTTTGTTGTTTTACATATTTTAAGATATTTTATAAATTTATACAAGGTGTTTCATAAAATATGACCATTGAGTAATCACGATTCTGCTTAAACTGCTTGACGTTTAAAGCTGATTTTTGGCAAACGGATTGACTGTGGGGTGTAGAGGTTCGATAAGGAGGGGTTTCTCGTTTATGATGTCAGGAATTTGAAAATTGAATGACTTTGAAATATCTTTCAAATGTTTGTTACATTTTATAGTAATTAATGTACTGATTATAGTTGGGGGTTGCCTTTTGCCATGCTCCTTGCTTTCGGGCATCTGTCAAATTTTACGTAAAGTAATAAATGATTAAAAAATTGGCTTCTTGGCCGAATTTTCAAAATTTTTATTTGAAAAGTTCTTTCCTTTTTAATTTTACATGAATATACCAATTTTTAACCATCTAGTTAAAAAAAACGTAATTTTTAACCACTAGTAACCCATTTTCTTACTAGAAACTTAAAAAGACTACTTACTTCTTACTTAAAAATATTTTCTTTAAAAATCAGGTCGCGACCGTTGTACGCGATCTGGCGCTGCTATAGCGGTTGCTAAGAACAACCGCAAACAATAACAGAAATAATTTTCTCTTGTCAAAGTCAGAATCTTCAAAAATTATAAAATGTTTCAAAATTTAAACCGCTCACATTGAAAAAAAACTACTGTGTGTATAAGCGTAAGCCTCCATTCTCAAAGTAATTATTGCTATCTTGTGAGTTTAATTTAAATTATACTTACTCAAATCCGTGATAATTGTGAAAAAGTGGCATTAAAAAAAACTGTGTTGTGAACTGTGAACTGTAAAAACCATAGTGGATCGTGGCATAACGTCGGTTTCCAATGTTTCATCGGTATTTCACATACATGTCCTTATATAAAATAAAGTTTCTTGTATGCAACACACTGTCTTTTATTTATAAAATTAAAAGAAAATAATAATAAATTTGAATAATAATATTTGACGATATAATTCCGGAAACAAGCCGAACCGATCCGAAATTACCAAAAGCTTTGGGTCGCGACCGTTGCAAGAAAAGCGCCAAATAGTGTTTATATTGTCCTTATGGGCACTTTCCAATCTAAACTTGTTTCATTTATCTATGATAGTATATTTTTTGCGAAGACGAGAATACACATTTTAAAAATCGTTCTGTCCAGATTTAATGGCTGCAACAGAAATACGATACTTTTCTCTGCCGAAAATAAAATTAATATTTCAAAACGTTTTTTTACTAAAAAGAACTGGTTCCCCTTCTATTCTTCGCTCAAGCGGACGTATCAAAAGGAATAAAATATCAATAACATCCTTTTTTAAGGCAGTCACAAAGAACTCCCTAGCATGAAAATAATAACAATAATGGAAAACGGAAAACTGAAACGAAACGAAATACGTTTATGGTAATGGACACAAAGGGCATCAGAAAACTCTAAATAATATCTTTCATTTTTTGTGGAGATTTTGTTACTGACTTTAGTTAAAATATTACTCAAATTTTTAAGTCTACTTTTTAACCATATTAATACCTTTGAATTTGATAATATCAGATTTCATATAATTATTTTACATTTATAGGTAAAACATATTAGTACCTACTTAGAAAAAAACATATTCGGAGTTTGACGCTGTGATGTTATTACTATACCGATAGTTAGGGTTGCCAACCGTCCTCTATTCCAGAGGACAGTCCTCTTTTTGATCTCTCACGTATTGAAAAAGTCTCTTTTTTACATACCAAACTCAAAATCTTAAAAAGATTCGTCTATCGCCGCAATGCTTTAAAAAATTGTTAATCTAAATAAATGCCTTTATTGTCAAAAAAATTTACAATTTGTAGACAAAGGTAAAGTAAACAAACCAAAGAGAATACAAGACAAGTATACAAATTACATTGTCAGTCTTATTGTTTAAAATAAACACATTAGCGTAACTAGCAATTTATCCTGGGGTGGGCCTGGGGGGGCCTGGGTTTGAGCCCAGGGGGGGCCTAGGGCTTTTGTTTTTTTATAAATAAAAAATAATTTTATAAAACACATTTTTTGAATAAAACGTTTACATGAATTTCTCTATCAATAAATTTCATAGACTTGGTTATCAAACCGTGTTCCCATATAAATAATATTAACTAAACAAAACTAGAAAACGTAATTTTTACTGCATCATAAGCAAATAAAAATTAATACGTAGCCAAGAGTCATAATTCAGGATTTCTCTGGGGGTGTGCCCAGCAGTACCTGGAGGGGCCCGGCACCTGTAGTTGCGCCAATGAATAAACATTTAAAATTTTTACAATATCAAAGAATAAAAAAATAAAAATAAGATTCAAAAATATTTAGTAAGTTTATAGTAAATATAGTAAAAGCAAATATTAGACCAGTGTTTAAAAGATCAAATTCGATTATCAAAATATAAGTCATTTACGGCGTAGAAAGCCTTGTCTAGTAAATAAGATTTCAATGCTTTGCGAAATGAAGAAAATATGTTATGGATTTGATTTCAAATGGCAGGTGATTGAGGCATTTTCTTCGAGTTGTATAATATTGAACTTTTAACTAACTCTGAGCGTGGGGTAAGTAGATAAAGATCTTGCTCCAGGTTCCTGAGTGAAGAAGTGTGAGATGGCCTTTCTTGAGAAGCGGATACATGCTTACGTATTAGGCAAACGGATTCAAATATAAATAAGGAAGGAAGAGTTAATATTTTTAATTGTTAAAAAAAATCCTGGCAATGAGTTCTGCTGTTTAGTCCAATTGAATATCGAACAGCTCTCTTCTGGAGCTTGAACAGCGGTCAAATTGAATCGCACAACACGTACCCCAGAATGGAAGGGCATATCTGAGGTGCGACTCCAAAAGTGCATAATAAACAGTTCTAGCCACTGACAAGTTAAGCTCCTTAGAAACAGATCTTAATGCAAAACAGGCAGAGCTTAATTTTTTCGACAAAGCGTCGATATGCATGTCCCATTTTAGAGAATTGTTTACAACAAGCCCTAAGAATTTTATAGATTTTACGACGTCAATGGTGGTGTTGTTAAGAATAAAAGGCTGCAGCGAGTTTTTATACGACAAAACTTTAGTTTTAGAAATGTTGAGACTCAGGAGCTTCGAATCGCACCAAGATTTAATGGTGATTAAGTCATTTGATAGAATCCTATGAAGTGCCGTGACGTCTTTATTGCTCCAAGTGAAGCTAGTGTCGTCCGCAAAAAGACATATTTTACAACTGATGTTTATGTTAGCAATGTTGCTAATAAAAAGAAGAAACAAAATAAGGCTGAGCCTTGAGGTACTTTCTATTGGCTTGCTAGGAGACAACGTGGTATCTGTGTCTTTAGCTACTCGCACTCGTTTGTATAGAAAAAAAATGAAGAAATATTTATGTACAAGAAATATTTGTGCGATAAACAAATGTTTAACTATTTTATGTTTGATATCAGTAAGAACAATTTTCGGATTGTCACGGGTTTTTTAACAGGACACTGTCTCCTTAACGAACACCCAGGGGTGGATGGGCCATATGGGAAAACGGGAAAATTTCCGGTGGGCCGGTGGCAAGATGGACCGGTGGGCCGGTCCCGATCAGAGCTCAAAAAAGATTTGATTAGCAAAAATTAAAAGGTTAATCTTCTAACTAAAGTGACGTAAGATCCTTAGTGACTCCATAACTAACTAATCAATTTGCATCAGTATAATCGTTAGTTGCTTTTAAACATAAACACCAATTTGTAAAATAACTATGCGTAAAAAATAGTATTTTACGTGTGCCAAATAGTTTTTTACACGTAAAAACTAGTTTTTTGTCTGTAACAAATAGTTTTATAAGCGCAAAATAAAAGATTAATAAATAATTTGATTTACTTTCACAAAATATGTATTAAAATATTTTTTATAAACACGTGGACTGCGCTCAAATACACGTCACGTCGCTTGTGACGTCGCTACGTATTTCTAAGCCGTAGGCTGTCCTTACCACTTTTCGTCTCGCTCTCGTGTGTCGCGGCCTTGAATTTTTACTTCCAGTGCGCTTAAAGAAGTTTCACTTCAAAAGTATTCTAGAGTAAATTAAAATATTCCAGGTTCTGCTTCAAAATCTCGAAAATAAATTTTTATACGTAAAGGCTAATTTAGTTAAGTTAAACTTATAGAAAAACAAATCTGCCAAATGTAGATTTCTTTTGATATTAACAGATGGACAAAAAAAAATAGTGTGTGCACTATGTGCGAATATTTGAAGTAAAACTTCTTAATAACAGCTAATAAATTGAATGATTTGAAGGACATGTTTGAAAAAGTGACATATAATGCTGTTTTAATATAAATATTATTTTCAATTTATTTCTGTACAATTTCTGTTTCCTTAATAGCCTGCAAATTTTGTGGAATACCACCCAAAATACACATTTTTATGCAAATGCCCATAGCAAATGCCTAATAACGTTAACGCTTAAATTTATTTAAGAAGAGAAAAAAAATTGAACCTAACCAACAATTCGTATTTACAATGATTTACAGTAATTTTGTTAAATTATACGAATATTCTCGTTGATTATTGGTTTGAAATAAATATGACAATGTTCTCCAATGAAAATGCGAGTTGCTTAACTCTAATAATTCTAATTCTGAGCTAGCAAATAAGTTAGATGCTTTACCTAGACCGTTATTCAGTAGCTACAAACATATATCGATGATGATATGCATGAAAATTTACTTCTCAGCACACATCCATAGAATATTGGTATCAAGTTTAGTATAATGATTTTCTTAGCTTTAAATCAAAGGTTTTTTTTCTCGCTTTGTCACGGCCTTGAATTTTTACTCCCATTGTGCGTAAAGTAGTTTCACTTCAATAATTATTCTTTATCACACAGTGGTTAAATGCATAGTTTGAAATAAATTTAAATAATAATTTAGAACATAATAATAAAAAATAGACATGACATACCTGAACTCCTCTTGTAAACATATTATTGGAATGAAGATGAACCACGTTAAATTCTCTGACTCCGTCAAACTCGAGTATTATTTCGAGAGGTTCTCCATTTCTCGACTCATTCGACCATCCCACCCATCTACTTCCTGGAAAAGAATTTATTCAATATTAACAAAATTCGAAATTTTATTTTTTATTTGGTAACTAAAATAGATACAGGGTGGTCCGAAACCTCCGCAGCATATTTGGCAGTTAAAAATAAGTAAAGAAAAATCTGATAACTGTATATCCGAAAATGATTCGTGTCGAAAATACAGGTTGTAGAAGTTTCAAAAGAATTAAAAAATATTATGTGGCGCCCCGACAAGTAAGAGTCTGATATCGAAATCGATTTCTCATGCCAAAAGATAACCACACGCCAATTTTCATCTAGATATCGACGTTAGTTCAGAAATTATTTAGAAAAAAAACGAATTAAAAATGAAACTTCTACACACTGTATTTCCAAAACGAAGCACTTTAGAACATAATTTTATATAAACCTTTATACTTATTTTTATCTGCAGAATATGCTGCAAAAGTTTCCCGAATACCATTCGGACCACCCTGTATACGAAATGGTTTCATTTGGTTTGTAAATTAATTTGAATTAAGTATAAAACAAAATATCAATACAACTTTTTCAAATTTTTTTTTTCAAAAAAAGACAAGGAGAACAGCAGATTCAATTTAAAACTCTATTCCCAAGAACAAAGAAGCAAACAAATTTAAGTTAGTGCTTGATTCTAAAAACAATATTTAGCTTTTATAAATATTATTGTGTTAATTAGTACTATTCATGCCTAAAATAAGCCTAAGCTTTTTAAAACTAAATAAAACCCTTTTAAACTAAATAAATAAAAAACTTTTAGTAACTGAGTCTGGTATCTGGTATATATGTAGTTTATTCCTGCATTTTAAAAATATTGATATACTTAATTTTTTTTATCATCTGGGACACTGTTGTATTATTTACAAATTTGATAAGTAAAGCCACGTAGATGAGGCATAAGCATGAGTTCTGGATTTTCAGGACGGATTTTTATTTTAGAATTGGTTGTTAAAAAGGGACCATATACACAACTAGTGATGGGATAACTACTCGATTATTGAAATAACCGACATCGCTCGATTATGAACGAGCGATGCAAGTGACGAGTAACGAGCGACGAACGCAAGCGATCCTAGAATGAAATAAATTGAAATCCGATTTTAATGTGACATACTCGATAAAAAGCCGACCGAATTTTCTAGATATATTGCAGGTAGCAAATTTATACGACGTTATTTTACGACCTACATCGACAATGCTTTGAAATAAACGAAATCAAGCGATCAAGTGACTCGCTCGTCGCTGGCTATTTGCCATTCGTCACCGAAAAAATATGTGCCCTGTGCACGCAACTTACTGCTTGGCGCTTGGCGTTAACGAGTACTTACAACAAGCGACCGGCGAAAACCGTATTTTTAAATACGAGCGATATTTCGCTCGAGCGATCGCTCGATTATTGCAGTCGCTTGAAACTCGAGTACTCGATTATTGAAATTAATCGGTTTTCCCATCACTATACACAACTATCGTAATTAAAATTTGACAGTACAAGTGCTTCGTACAACATAGATTTAATAGCAATAGTTAATAATATCGCTAACCCCTTATGACATTTATAGCAGAATACGATCGCTGAATCAAAACAGTAATGTCTTGCATACTTAAATTCAGTAGAAAATAATATTGTCTATGTACCAACCGAATTATAAAGGTGTTAATAACCTCGGGCCATAATTGTCCAGAAACTTTGCCCTCGGTAATTATAACCTTCATAATTCCCTTGATACATAAATAACTATTTTGTCTATATACAAATGTATACTTTTTATTGTTCATTTAATTTGATAAATATGCAGATATTATTTAAACGCCAAACATATTTCAAAGAATGCTTTTTTACACATAAATATAATTATCCTGAACATAAATCAAAATACTTTAAATTTATTCTAGATATATTTAGTGGAAATTTATTTTTCGAATATGCGGAAAATACTTTTTTTTGAAAATAAATATGTATAGAGAACGGTAAATAAATGTCAATGTTACCTTTCGTATATTAATTATTCATTCTATGGAAATTTGTATAGACATCATTTCATCCTAGATTAGTTACTTTTTTATATTGTTTGAAGTTTGAATAATACAAAAAGCCGGTTGGTTTAAAAATGCAGCCCCAACGATCAATTTGACAGACATAATTCGTTCATGTTTTATTATCTAAATTGGAATTCAAGTTAACAACGGCCGACATTATTGACACTCATGTCGCATGCTTAACTAATAGAGTAGCTATAGAAGACGCGGGCCTGTTCGTGGCAATCATTCATTAATATTTTTTAAACTGACATTTCAAGTGTTAAATATGCTTTTGAAGGGAAACGCCCTTTTCTATAGGAGACGAAAACTAGTATCGGTTTCTGGAGCTCAATTTTTATCAGAAACATGATGGTAAAAACCGCACATCGATATCTGTTACCGTTTCGGAGTTACGGGGTGTTTTCCAAAAATGTGCATTTTCAACAAATCGCTGTAACTTTTTTGCTATGGAAATCTTTGTATTTTTATTAAAACATTTCCAAAGCACGTTTTTTACGTAGAATTTAATGGTTCAAGTATAATTTTTTTAAATTAATAGTTTAAGAGTATCAACAAAAAAATTGATTTTTTATTTGCGACACCCTATATATTTTTAATTAATTGAACATAATTTAAATTACCTCTCCAATTCTTTTCGAAATACAGAAGTATTAAAAATTTGCCACTTTTAACTAGTAGGCTTTGGACTTCTTATTGATTATCTGCCCGTAATGGAACTCGAAAAAATATTTTTCCAGCAAGCCGAGGTACCGCCTTAGAACGCTGAAGTCATTAACAAATTTTTGCAGCCAATATTGAGAATAATTGAATAGAGCTAGACTTGGCGCCTATGGATTTTTATCTTTGCAGAAGAATAAAGGTTCTTATTTCTAAATTGCCCGTATACTCTAGACAAGAATTAGAAGTCCTTAGCGGTTATGCGAGGGTATCTTTCATCCTCACTGAGTTAATGAATTCCGCGAGAAATGTTTAAAAACGGTTCCGTCTGTCCATAAAATTTTTATGTCTTGATTTGTTACTTATTTTTATTGTTATTATATATAGTTTAAATGTGTTGATGTTGTTAAATATAGTTTAAATTGTCATAAAATTATGCATCTCTCATTGCAAATATTATTTTCGTTTTAATTGTTGCTTACAGCTGGATTTTTTTTACAATACAGCCGGCGCTGTTCAAAGCCTACTTATTAAAAGTGTGCGAATTTCTTAAAACTCTATATCTCGAAGGGGAATCGAGCAAAATATCAAGTTTGTTATATTTTTGGAAAGGTAATTTTAAATTATTTTCAATCAATTAAAAATATACAGGGTGTCCCATAGAAAAAATCAAATTTTCTGTTGATAATTTTTGAATTATTAATTTTACCATTAACCATTAAATTCTATAACAAAAAAGTTACAGCGATTTGAAAAATGAACATTTTTGAAAAACATCCCGTAATTCCGAAAAGGATAACAGATACCGATGTCCGGTTTTCACCATCATGTTTTTGATAAAGTTTGAGTTCCAGACCCCGATATTAGTTTTCTATCCTTCTATCTCCTATAGAAAAGGGTGTTTCCCTTTAAATGCGCCCAATTGGGCCCACCCTGTACCTACATTTCTCATCGGCATGAAAAACGGGCATCTTAAAATTTTGAGTTTAAAATTTTATATACTGTGATCTACCCTGCATATCTCACAAAAACTTCAAAAGAATTAAATATTGCTATGAGTTAACTAGTATATCTATAACTATACAGGGTTGTTCACCACATACGACACGGAGTATTGTAGCTAAACGATTAGATCTTTACAAATTGTAAGTTTTGGGTTCGTTGAAGGACTATGGAACACCCTGTATATTATTACATTTTTAGTTTCTACGATTAAATTAAAGGTAAATTTGATAGAGGTTTATTACACTTAAACCTTACCGTTTTTGAAATATTTTCAATTTTGTGAAATTGAAGTCAAAATTTTAAGCCTTCATTTCTCCAAGGGTATCAAAGTTTTTAATACTAAATATTTACTGAAGTTTATTTATTGATCAGTTATTATGTTGCAATAATAAAAATTAGACTACCTTATACAGAGTGTCTAAAATTTTATTTTAAATAATTAACTAGCTTTAAAAGGCATTAACTTGTTTAATTTAAACGGAACACCCTGTATATTTTATGAGAATCAGATGTACAATTTAATTGTCTATCAAATTGTATTATGCCATTTTTTACCTATCTCTTCAACTTTCCGTAGAAAATGCAGCAATAATTTAGAACTCATTTACCAATATACCCATGGAATACTGACATTTTAGATTCTTTTTAAAGATGTACCAAATTTTTAAAGAGTACATTTACTAATATTGTCGATATAGTTTGTTTATTCCATTAAAAAATTAAAAAGACTGTTTAAATATTTGTTAAAGAGGACCAATTAATATGATTCCAGTATTCAAACTACATTAATTGACTGTTTGCGTTGATTAATAATAATTGCTCCAAAAACTAAAAAACTGAATTTTTTATGTGTATTAGACAGGTGAAAAGTAACACCTTGAAAATTATATTTCATTTTTTGACAAATGCTTATTTATAACAACAGAGACATTCATTTTCATAACTTATTATTATATTGATTTCTGATTCAAATCCAGATTTATTTAGAATAATTTATTAACGGACATAATTAAGTATGTAAATAATTAGTATTTGGGCGGAAATAATGGTGGTATATTAAATTAATGGTATGCTCTTTTATAAAGATTTAAACAGTTTTCTTTTTGAATACAAATGGGCTAGTAATATTGTAATTTTGCTAAAAACGATAATATTACTAGCCTGTACATTTTGTACATTTGTTACTTTAAAAACAATCTAAAATGTCAATATTCCATGGGTATATTGAGGTCTATATTATAAGAAAATGCATTTTCTCCGAAAACTGGAAGGGATAGGTAAAAAGTGGCATAA